GTTCTATTCTCAGCACTGCATATTGATAAGCTCATTAAATAAAGGTCCATCAACATCTAAACACACACACACACACACACACACACACACACACACACACAGAGGAATGGTGGGGTTAGCAGTTGCCAATACCAACAACAAGGAATAGCTATGAACTAGATCTGGTAATAAACAGTAAGTATCAACTGTGCAATCCACAGTACTAATGACAACAACATGAAGGGTGGGTTCGGGAATTATATAAACCAAATAGTTTTAAAATATGGTAAAAATGCTGTTCATAAAGAGAAAAGAAAATCTGATAGAAAGGTAAAAGAAAGTTTAGAATGTTCAAAATGTGAACAGAGAGAACTCAGAAGAGATGTAGCTAGTGATGGCTGTAAAGAAGGAGGAGAAAAAATAAATAAAAGAATCAAAATAAATAAAGAGAACAATAAAATTTGGCTGTTAGAGGAAGGAAAAAAGGAGAGAAAAAGAAACAAAACCAAAACAAAATAAAAATGAACAAAACTCCCTCACTCTCAAAAGACAAAGAAAAATAACAAACATTAAAAAATGATAAAAATGAAAAAAGAAACAAAAATGTACATGCATATATGTCAATGAACCAGTCAGCTTAGTAAGAACATCACCACCCCCAAAAAAAGAGAGAAAGAAAGAAAAGAAGGAAATAAAAATCTTAATTAAAAATGAAAGAATTGTCTCCACTGAGGTAGTCAAAACTGTCAACAAAGGTGGATATTCACTGCCTATGCCAGACTTCCCTTTTTTTGGGGGGGTGGGGTGGGCAGGGTAAGCATGCTTTCGGGAGAGCAAGGGATGGGGCTTGTTAAACCCTTCCTCTTTTTGTGTTGCTCACCAAGCTACCAACTGGACTGGCCTAGAATTGAAACTGGTTGAAATAGCTCTCAGCTTCCCTTCTCACCAGTACGAGGTAGAACAGAATGAGAAATATTTTCTAAGAGTTTTGTCAGTACAGATCAGATTGATGAACTCTCAGGATGGGGTTGCTGCAGAGTTCTAAATGGGAAGTTCCAATGGCTGAGGTTTAGCTCCAGTCAGGACTTTGGGACTTTACTGGGTGGTATCTGCTCTGGAAAGATTAGATCAACACACCCCTAGTGCTGGGCAAACACTGGTCTCTGCTTGAAGGCTAGATTTAGCTATCTCCTAAGAATTTTACTCATAGGTTGAGGGAGCCAACTCTCCACAGGTCTCGCACATTCCACTGCCCATGAAGGTAGCCTTCCCAAGCTCAGTCCCCAAGTATAATCCCTGTGTAATCACACCTGCCTGTTCAGTTTCCTGCCTCTCTTCAGCTGTTCATGTGAGGCACCAGACTCAAAGGGAAAGTCAGTTGCACTCTCCTTCATGTCTCTGACTTGAACCCACCTGGGTACAGTCATCTTCTGTGTTTGTTTCAATCATGTTCTGCTAGGTACACCCTAGGCCACACAGTAGGTGATTGCTGGGATAGGATGATAATATTTGCTATGATCTCTTGGGCTCCTGGGGCAACAAGCTGCATCTGGCCTCCTCAAGATGGTTCCCTCTCAGCTATTTCCTTGTCAGTAGAGGAACACAGAGCACTTTCAAACACCAGCTTGCTCTGTAGCCTCTTGTTCAGCTAAGTTCAGACCCTTTTTTTCTGTTGGGTTTTTCCATGTCAAATTTGTCCATCATGTTTCTCTCTTGTTGGTGTTGTTCCTCCCCCCTGTGGTGAACCAGCACCAATGCTGTCTTTGGCACTGGCTTGGTTCCAATGTACTCTTCTTGCCTCTTGTTCCGTGCACTCAGATTTCTGGGTCTCTAAAAATCTCTGGCTGTCCCGTTGAATTCCCTCTTTTACCCATCTCACTGAGGAGGAGTATTCTGGCTGCTTGAATCTTAGAACATAAAGTAACTGGAAATGCAGCCTTTCTCAAATTCATCATCTTGAATCTCCCCTGTTAACTCATTTATTAATATAATTAATATTTTAAGAAGTAGTCAACAGGTACTGAACAACCACTCAGTGCCCAGTTCAGTTCCTTGTGGGAACATGGGGGATTCCCTTTTCTTCCTCAAGGAAGTGAATGACTCAAGAGACTGAGCAACCAGCCCAGAGTCACAGAACCAGGCAGCCACAGAAGAGATAGGATGCAAATATAGGCTGGTCTGAGGCTAGGACTTGAGACCTGCAAATCCTTGGCATCATTCTAGTTGTCCTCCACATCCTCCAGTTGTGTCCCTCCCACAGTTGAAAAAGTACTTGTCTCCTAAGGGGCTTAAACTGCTTGTTGCCTGCGAAGCCAGACTGCTGTTGCTGCACCTGGGTGGCAGAGAGAGCCATGGTGTCGAATTTGGTCTTGACCAGCGCTGACATTCCTGGCTGGGCCTGGGCACTGGTGGTGACCAGACTTTTACTGACCGGATATGTGAAATCAGAGTAGGTGTCATGGCTGTCTCCTCTGAGAACGTCAATGAAACCACCTACTTTTCCCTTTCTGTTATGAGTTGAACTGTATCTGGCCCCCTCAACCAAATATGTTCAATTCTGGTACCCTCTGATTGTGACCTTATTTGAAAATAGGGTCTTTGTAGATGCATTCAAATTAAGATACCGTTATTCAGTGGGCCCTCATCCAATATGTCTGCTGTCCACACGTGCCCACATGTGAAGACAAAGATACACTAGGAAAATGCCACGTGAACAGTGGAAATTGGAGTCTTGTTGCTACAAGAATGCCGAGTAATGTCAAGGACCCATGGTCATCACCAGAAGCTAGAAAGAGGCAAGGAAAGATTCTGTGCAAAGACTCAGAGAGATCATGGCCAATACCTTGATCTCAGACCTGTATTCTCTTGAGCTGTAAAAGAATAAATTTCTTTTGTCTTAAGCCAACCAGTTTGTGGTATTTTGTCACAACGGACTCAAAAAATTAATATTCCCTCCATGCTCTGTTGCTGCTCGTACCAGGTGTCTGCACTTTATCTAGATCTCTGCCTTACTTTCCTCCCCTAGGCGCCCTTACCAACCATCCTCAATCTGCAGTCCACAGCCATCCTCTGTTGCATGGTCCCCACTACCCTGGGCTGAAGCCATGCTACTTGCACCTCTGTGGCTTCACAAATGTTGTTCCCTTTTCCCTTTGCAAGCTGTCTTTTTCTATTTTCTTTTCTCATATTGGAATAAATGAAACTAGGTAATTTATAAAGGAAAAAGTTATTTAGTTCATGATTCTGGAGGCCAAAAGGCCAAAATTGAGCAGCTGCATCTGGTGAGGACCACATGCTGCATCATAACACAGAAAAGAGAAGTCAGTGGGCACAAGAAGAGGAGGCAAAACATACCTACTGTATGCCAGGCCCTGGAAACACAGCACGATGTCATGGGTGGTGGGGACAGTTGTAGAGTCATGAGTGAGCTATGCCATTCACATAGACTTATGTCTTTCCACATCTTTTTGAACTGTCAGAATTTATAGAATAACAAATACACAAGCCACTTCACTTTGGCCAGCTTTAATTCACTGAAAATACTCATGGATCATTTGGTGTTATGCCCTCGACAATCACAAGCTCTTTTATTCCATTCTAATCTTTATTACTACTATCTACAGGATGCAAGTCATACATCACACTTTACACAATTATATGTAAGTTACAGAAAGGCTAAGAAAGGTGCCTGAGGGTTTCAAGAGGCCACACTGAAAGCAAAGGCAGAGAGCAGATACAAATGGAAAAGAATCACAGCAGGTGGTCAGATAAGATTAGGAACCAGAGAACCTGTTTAGGGTGCCAATCTATTCAGGATGGAAGAGCTGTTCTGGAAAGGTCCACATGGTAGTTGCTATAGAGTCCGGAGTTCATTGCTTTGTCAACCTCCTGGCAGAACTCACTGGATGGTCTGTTGAGATGACAGGTCAGTGTGTGCCACCTTACCACTCTCTTATGTGTTCCAGGTGAGGGGATTACATCTGGTGTGTCTGATAAGCTTACAGACATAGTTTGGGTTTGATATACCCATATATCCATCTGCTTCTAATTTAATTCAGTAAGTTCACAGGTCATCATTTTTTATCAGCACAATTAATTTATCAGCTTGTGCCTTATGATTATCCTGTGCAGTTTGAGGTTATTCTTTTCAATAAGCTCTGAATGCCCAACATCTAGTGGTTACCCATTTGTCTAGAAAAGTTGCCAAGTCATTCTGTCTTAGCACTTGTACTCAAAATGGAGGAGCTCAGGGTGAACTACTGCTTTATAAAATGAAATAACTTAGAGCTAGACACTGCTGTTCTATACAGCATGGAGTAATTGCAAGCAAGGCATAACCTGTTCTGTTCTCTGCCTGTAAATGAGTCCTCCCCACCCACTCTCTCACCCCTTATCCTTTACCCTGGTTCCCAGGTCTGGTGTGGCTCAATTCACAGTTATACACACATATGCTGGGCCTGGAAAGTCTCTTTCTCAACCTTGAAGCCACATGCCCCAAGAGCAGTTGCTCTGGACACAGATGATAAATGGAGCCTGGGATATGACCACAAGTGATTTCCATTTTGTCTGAGGTGAGAAGTGGTCTTCCTAGGCTCAAGGAGGCATCTGATGGGACTATAGGAGTAGAAAATAAGGAATTGAGAGGCAGGGTGGAGGACAGCCTCCATGTGGGTGCCAGCCTCCATGTGGGTGCCAACCATAGTGTCAGTTTCAACATGACCACATCAATGCTGTGAGGCAAGCAACACTTACACTGTCACCATTTTACAAATGAGGTTTTGAATCCAAGCCAGTCTGAATTCAAGGGCCAGTGTCTCAGGCATCCAGCAAGGAATGAGCCCTGCCAGTCACATTCAAGGTAAGAACTATAGGTCCAATAAGAAGGAACAGGTCTTCTGGACAGAGGTATTTGTGGGTGGAGCTGCCAGCTGGGCAAAAGGCAGGCAGTCTGGATGGAACCACAGAGCCGGCCTGAACCCAGGAGCACTGAGCTGGATCCCACCCCTGATACCATAAGCAGCATGAGTGGACAAGTGGGTGACCTGAGCCCATCCCAGGAGAAGTCACTGGCTCAGGTGAGGGGGCAGAGGGAGTGGGAGAGAGTTCTACACCAGCTTCGTTTTTTTTCTTCTGCCCCACAAGGGAAAGGACCCAAGGCCCTTGAAGTTCCTCAGGGCTCTGGGTCTCTTTCCAACCCTTAAGATCTTGGCGGCCAGAAGCTACACCAGCCCCAACCAATAGAGATATACTGTGAACCCAGTATAGTTAAATTATTACCACTTCAACAAGTAGTCAGTGTAAGATTCATTATGAATTTTTGTTTTTGTTTTTACTAAGTTTTTGAAATCTTGTATTTTATTCTCATAGACCTCAACTCAGACTAGCCATGTTTTAAGAATATATGGCTACTATAGTGGGCAACACAGGTGAGGGCTGCAGGCCCTATGGGGAGAGGCTGGCATGGCAGGTTAAATCCTCAGCTACAACCCAAGGGGAAGCATGAACAAAGTGCATTTTCCTCTCTATCCTGGGGAGAGTCCCTCAGAGGTTCAAGGTCTTTTCTTACATGGCTGTAGGGATCACACACTTCCAGGGGCACAGGAGGCCCCAATTCTGCCCTCAGAATTTCAACATTGAGAAAGTGATATTTTGCCCTAGCCGGGAATGAATCCTCTTACAAGACCACTGAAATCAGTGGAGCATGCCTGTAATCCCAGTGGCTCGGGAGGCTGAGGCAGGAGAATCACAAGTTCAAAGCCAGCCTCAGCAATTTAGTGAGACCCTAAGTAACTCAGCAAGACCCTGTCTCTAAATATAATATTAAAAAGGTCTGAGGATGTGACTCAGTGGTTAAGCACCCCTGGGTTCAATCCCCTGTACCAAAAATAAAACAACAACCAAAACAAAACAAAACAAGAAACTCATTGGGATCAAGAATAGATCAAAGAAATGCTCATCTTGGCTGAGCATTTAAGCCTCAGTTTCCTCACTTAGGGAATAGATACAAAAGCAGTTCATGTCAGGATTAGTTTAGCTTAGAGCTAAACACTCCTTCATGATACTGAAGACAAAAGTTATCAGCTCATTTCAGGTGGGAGACCTGGAGGAGGTTCAGTTTCTCTTTGAAGGTCAAAGAGATAGATACTCAGAAATAGAGAAAGTGACTCAGGCAAGGCCACACTGGGGAAGCTGGCTCTGTCCCGTGCTCTTTCACCTTCCAGATTCATTAGTGTTAAAGGCTGACTTTAGCCATAGTGCAGCCAGCAACATCCATCCAAGAGCAGCAGCACCTCAGCCCTCAGATCCTGTCTGGTGGATGCAGGGCCAGCTGAACTGCCCTGAGCAACTCCTGGGGACCGTCTGAGAAGAACTCTCTCCCAGGATGTGCCAAGTCATTCCTTCCTTGGGCCTAGATGATGGGCTCTAACCCAAATTCATCATTAGCCTGCTGGCTCTGCCACTCACTGGCCAGGTGACATTGGGCAAACTGCTCAATCTCTATAATTCATACTTCTTGCAGCTACTGTGCCACCTGATCTGGCCTGGAAGCTCCTTGATGATAAAGATCAGGTCTCTGAAACAGGCTGTTCCCTAACCCCACATCCCTGAAGGAAAAGTCAGGCTCATGGATCCTTTCCACCTTTAATCCCCATGTAATCCTCTCTGAGGGTTTGAGCAGCTAGTTGATGATTATCCCACTTTCCATAGAGAGAAAAAGAATTGCCACAGCTTAACCCAGGTCCTGGCTCTCCCAGCCTTGGTGTGTCATCTTCACTCAGGGGCCAGCAAACCCAACAGGCCTGCGGGTGGCTCGCCAGCCCCCTGAAGGCTTCGGGGGCACCGTGGAAACTCTTTGATCCCAGTCTTCTCCCCGATCTGTCTGTCCACAGTTTCGGGTCAATGTCCAGGATGTGCTATCTGCCTTGCCCAATGCTGATGACTCCTTCCTCCTGCGCTGGCTCCGAGGTGAGGATAGAGGATGCAGTGGGATGAGAGTCAGGGGCATGCGAAAGGTATCTGTTGCTGTGTAACAAATTACAGTCATCTTTCTGTTTCCACAAGATTGGTTCCAGGACCTCCTGAAGATATCAAAACCCATGGGTGTTCAAGTCCTTCACATAAAATGGCATAGTATTTGCATAGAGCCTACTCACCTCTTCCTATATACTTTACATCATTTGTAGATGACTTATGTTACCTAATAAAATGCAAATGCTATGTGAATGTTTTATTATACTTAATTATTTAGGAAATAATGACAAGGGAAAAAGTTTATACATGCTCCATGTAGACACAATTTATTTATTTTTTCTTCTGTAGCTATTTATTGAATGGATGTAGATAGAATCCAAGGCTAGAGTGAGCTGCTGTACTCCAAATCAGAGCTGTTTTAAACAGCTAGGAACATTTATTATCTCCCTGTTTCTGTGGCCAGGATTTATGGGGAGGCTTAGCTGGGAGGTTCTGGTATAGTCTGTCATGAGGTTGCAGACAAAATGTAGCTCAAGGCTGCTGTCAAGTGAGGGTTTGATGGGGCTGGATGATCTGCTTCCAAGATGTCTTATATGTCTGGCTAGTCAGTGCTGGCTATTGGCAGGAGGCCTCAGTTCCTCCTCACAGGAGCCTTTCCAGAAGACAGCTTGAGTACCTGTAAACAGAGCTGCTGGCTTTCCCACAGTGAATGATTCGAGAGAATGAGGAAAAAAAATGTCTTTGTCTTTATGATAACACCATTATGATCATATTCCATAATTTCTTCAGTATCCTATTGGTTTTGCAGCTCAGCACTGCTAAGTGTGGGAGGGATCTAAACAGACATGAATACCAGGAGGTGAGGACCACTAACAGCCATCTTGGAGGTGGCTCCCTCAAGGAATAGTGGTATTTAACTGCCATATTCATAACACTAATTCTGTACTAGGAACTGGATAAAGCAATTTTAATTTATTTTTTTCCTCCTTTATTTCCTCTTTCTTCTTCTTCCACAGAAGCCCAATGAGGTAGAGATTATTATTAGCCTCATTTTTTTTTTGATTGGAGGAAATTGTAGTTCAGAGCAATTAAGCTATTTGACGAATTTCACCATGCTTGCAAGTGGCAAATCCAGGTCAGTCTGATTTTAGAGGCTGTCATGTTCACAGCCTAGTTGTGCCGGGAAAGGGTGATAGGTTGGTGAGATACCAAAGAAAATGCCCAGAGATGGTATGAGGCATAAGGCTTTACTGAGAAATACTTATGAGGAAGGTCCAGGGGTTGCAGGCTGAACACATAACACCTCCATACCTCAAGGTGCTTTGCCAAGCAGTGCCTCCTCTCCCTCATTGCATTTTGTCCAGTGGTGGCCTGCTGGATGAGTGACATGTTTCCTTTTCACAGTGCCCTCAGTTTCACACCAGTCTCTGCTGAGAGGACAATTTTATATGTTAGGCAACAGAGACAGTTTGTTTATATGACCAGTATCCCAAGGACCAACTGTACTGGTGTACATGTAAAAAGGACTTTTCTATAGATAACATTAGCTTGCCCTTTCCCCCAGTGTATATGGGAGAAAGACAGTATCCTTCAAGATAAAATGTATCTGGATATTCTGGTCCAAGCTTACTCTCATTGTTCTCTTAACTTGGCTAAGTTTTGGAGAACAGAAAGGGGACATTCAGGGATAAAGGATATGGATGTGGTTTCTTTTTTTTTTTTTACGGTTACTCTTTTCTTTAAAGGTAATATAGATGTCAATCACTTAATATCTTTTCAGAGAATGAGTCTGGGGAAGAATTTGCATTTAAGATAAATGTTGGAATCCCAGAATCCAAACGCACAGACAGGAGATCCTTTTATTCTGTGGCTCTGAGAATGTAGCTGTAACTCCCACACAGACTCCTTGATAGAAAGTAAGGTCAGAATAGTTTTCAGGATCTGTGAGGAAATCATTCTAAACCATGTTAATGATCATGCCTACCCCAACTATTGCAGATTACATAGGGATTCAAATCACTGAATGACAGAGAAAACCTAGTAGGTGATGAACCGTCTTCATAAAATCAGTGAGGGCAACTTGCCTCTGAGCCTGGGTTATTGTTTTATAAGTCATGATACTTTAACCAACAGGATTCCCTAGCTCAAGGTCTTCACGAAGGCAGTTTTCTTTACCTAGAATTCCTTTCAAACTTGTGTTTGTCCCTTTCCTCTTACTTGAATGAAATACCAGAGATTAAGTAGTTGATAAAGAAATGAGGCTTATTTATCTCACAGTTTGAAACTGAAAGTCCCAAATCAGGTGGCCCTATCAATTTGATCTCTGGTGAGGAACCTCTTGAATGAGTCATGTCACAGTGGGTGGCACTATGGTGGGAATATATGCAAAGGGAGAGATCACATGTGAGACAGGAAGCCAGAGCAAGATTCAGAGAGGATCTTGTTCTTTACAACAACCCTTTCACAAGAACTAATTGGAGTCCCATGAGAACTTAAATCCTTTCCAAGGATGATACCCCCAATAACTTCCCAGTAGGCTCTACCTCTAGAAGTTTCTACCACCTCTTAACATCATTATATAGGAGACCCAATCTTCCAACACATGAACCCTTAGGAGACAAACCACATCTAAACCACCGAAAAATGGCTACCAAATCAGAAAAGAATCCCAACTGGAGTCCCAAAGACCGGGTCTAATCACACCTGTGTCTTTTACTGGCTGCATAGGACTCGAGATAGATGGCCTCCTTTTATTGGGTCTCAGTTTTCTCATCTCTTTACAAGAAAATAGAGTCTATCTCCTACTCAGCTTTCAGGGTTGTCTTGAGGCCCAAATGAAGTCAAAGTGGGGACCAGCCTAAGGCACAAGGGACCAAGTGAAATCACTTGGTTCTCATCAGCCAAGGACACTTAATAGAAATGCTGTTGAATCAGGTTGGAAGTGGAATGAGCCAAGAGGGACAAGTTGACTCTAAGAGAAAGAGAGCTGGGAACTGGCCCAGACAGCTGTTTTCCCAATAAACAGATGAGGAAACTGAGTTCCAATGGAAGGAGGCCACCTGCTCCAGGTCCTATACAGGTCTTCATGACTCCAATCAGGATTCTTTTCTGATTTGGTGGAAGTTTTGCTATGGTTTGTCCCTCAAGAGTCCATGTGTTGAAAACCTTCTCAGCCTGCAGGACCTGCTGGGACCTAACTCTCATTTGTTTATAACATCCCCAGATAGTTTTCTGATTATAAAACCAGGACATGTTTACCATGGAAAATCTGGAAGGTCTGGGAAAAGGGGCTATCCAAATCACTCATAATCCCGCCATGGCCATGAGGTAAATTTACATGTAACATTTTTTTAAAGTACCATCAACTTAATACACTCTATATTGTTTTGTTCGATGATGATGATGATGATGATGATGATGATGATGATGATTTTGCATTTCTGGGGCTTCAAAACAGGAGTGTGAGCTACCACTTAGTCACATTCCAAGCTTTTTTGTTAGGCGGGTTATTGAACCCAGGGACACTTAACCACTGAGCCACATACCCAGCCCTTTTTATTTTTCATTTCTTTAAATATTTATTTTTTTGTTGTAGTTAGACACAATACCTTATTTATTTATTTTTATGTGGTGCTGAGGATAGAACCCAGGGCCTCACATGTTCTAGGTGAGTGCTCTACCGCTAAGCCACAACCCTAGCCCCCCAGACCTTTTTATATTTTATTTTGAGATAGCATCTCACAAAGTTGCTGAGGCTGGCTTTGAACTCAAGATCCTCCTGCCTCAGCCTCCCAAGCCACTGAGATTACAGGCATGGGCTACCATTCCTGGCATCCCAAGCCCTTTTTATTTTTATTTTTTGTATTTTTGGTACCAGGGTTTGAATTCAGGGGCACTTAACCACTGTGCCACATCCCAGCATTTTTTTGTGTTTTATTTAGAGACAGGGTCTCTCTGAGTCACTTAGTGCCTGCTAAATTTCTGAGGCTGGCTTCAAACTGCTATCTTCGTGTCTCAGCCTTCTGAGCCACTGGGCTTACCATGTGTGCGCCATGCCTAACTTAGTTTTTATTTTGAGACAGGGTCTCATTAAGTTGTCCAGGCTGGTCTCAAACTTTCGATCCTCTTGCCTCAGCCTCCTGAGTCATTGGGATTACAGGTGCATCATCACACCAGCTGTTCACCTATTATTTTGAGAACATTACCCCAGGTCACTGAAATTTTTCTTCTTCCTCAGTGTTGTTGTATGATTGCAGAATGTTCTGAAAAGTGACTCTATATGGTTGATTTAAAAGACCCCCACTTGGAAGCCCTTGTTTCTCAGCAAGACAAAGTTGGCCTCATCTGCTCCATGGACCAGTTGAATTACATATTTAAATATTGAAGAGTGACTAGTTGCTACAGTCTTGATTCAGAATGTCCCCCAAAGACCCATGTGTTAAAGGGTTAGTCCTCAGCTTGGTGCTACTGGCAGGTAGTGGAAACCCTAAGAGGTGGGGCCTTGTGGGAGGTCTTCTGGTCCTTGGGCATATGGCCCACTCCTTTTCTCTTTTGCTTCCTGGCCATTAGAAGAGCAGTTTCGCTTCTCTACCTGCTTCTGCCTGATGTGCTGCCCTCCTACCAAAGGCCTAAAAACAATAAGTCTGCATTATGACGGAGGGTAACCTCAAAGACTGTGAGCCAAAATAAACGTTTTCTCTTTATAAGTTGATTATCTCAGGGACTTGTTATAGTAATAGAAAGCTGAGTCACACCGACAGTGAAAAGCACTATTGTTTTATTTTTTAAAATTTAAATTACAGTAGAACTTTCTGAACACAGTCACATCATAAAAATCTATATATGAATTCATCTTATCGTTTCTAATAGTCATATAGTATTTTACAGTATAGAGGGACCCTCCATTTATTTAACCAGTTCCCTAGAGCTGGACATTCAGGCTGTTTCCATTTTTTTTTTTAAATTACAAATACTTCAAAAGGGATAACATTGTCCTGTTCCCTTCTGCACATATATGCAAATGCTTTTGTCAGGTGGATCCTAAAAAGTAAGGCTGTTGGGTAATGGACAGCCTTAATTGAGAGGTAAGGAAACTGCACCTCAAGAGAGAAAAGATTGTCCTGAAGTCATACTGAAGGTTGGTGACAATATTGGAAAATAAGTTTTGATTGGTACTTTTTTATGTATTTTAAGTTATTCACAATTTAAACCAATGGTTCTCAAAATATGCTCCAGGAAACCCAAGTGTTCCAAGATCTTTCTGGATCATTAGTTCCTAATGTCTTAACTATTTTTTTTTAATTTTTTTTTTAGTTGTAGATGGACATGATACCTTATATTTATTTATTTATTAAATTTTTATGTGGTGCTGGGGATCGAACCCAGTGCCTCACGCATGCTAGGCAAGCGCTCTACCACTGAGCCACAACCCCCACCCTTAACTATTTTCTTAATGACTCTAACATTATTTGCATTTTTCATTCTTGTTTTCTTATACCAGATTTTCCAGAGGCTCTGTGATGTGTAATAACATCATTGCTTTGAATGAAAGGGAATATGTGTTTATGTATTCTTGTATTTAAAAAATTCTCAATTTTAACTTCTAATATGGTAAATATGGGCAGATATAATCCAAATGAACATAAGCTCATTGCCATCTTTGATGATTTTTAAGTACATAAAGGGTTTCTGAGACCCAAAAGTTTGTGATTTGCAGATTTAAACAATTCTCAGCCACAAGATTTGGAGGGTCTGCTTTCTCACTGACTTTTCTGGAACAACAGGAAAAGAGCCCCCAAGATCCTGGCAGTAGCAGTGGATATGGCAGGGACTTAATTTTCTGTTTCTTTTGGATACCTTCTTTTCTTACCTTCCTCCTGGCTAGTGGTTTCACTTCCCACCACTTCCAAGGCCCAGAGAGGGACATTTCCACCATCATCAGCCTAGGGAACCAAGTGGTCTGAAACAAATCTTCCTGGGACTCAGGAAGGGTACATTGGTTCTTGCTTGAGCCCCCTGTGCCTCCAGGTGTGGATACCAGGGTGCTCTGAATAAGAGGAGACAAAACTAGCCTGGAGAGTGGGGCAGGGAGGGCTGCTCTTTTCTGATGCCTAAAGCAAGCCTTAGGATTCTATAGTCATGGTCCTGTCCTCTTGTTGCAGCTCGGAGCTTTGACCTGCAAAAATCAGAGGACATGCTGCGGAAGGTGAGTACAATATCCTCCAGCTTAGCCTGGTCCTGCTTTTTATTTCAAGCCTTATTTCAAGACACAAATTCAGTCTTTCATTCATTCAGCATTTTTTCAGTCCTGACAGTAAACCTGGCTCTGTGCTAGGAGAAGAGTGAGGTGACAGGAAGAGAGAGAAAAAAGAAAGCAAATGAACAAATAAACTAGACAAATAAGAGAATTCCTGAGAGTGGGAAGTACAATGAAAACAGTAAAACAGGAGAGATGGAGAGAGGGAAGGAGAGAGAAAGGAAGGAAGGAAGGAAGGAAGGAAGGAAGGAAGGAAGGAAGGAAGGAAGGAAGGAAGGGTTGGTCATGAATATGTCATTTGGGACATGAATGCCCCAAAGGAGGCAGGCATGTGAAGAGAAGAAGCAGAAGGCACAATCCAAGAACCTCCAGAAGTACAGGGAGGTCACATTGTAGAAAACAATGAGAGAGACAAGGCTGCATGGGTGATCCAGGCCCACCAGCCATGCCCTGCAGGCTTCCATAGAGAGTCTAGGTTTTTTTGTCTAAAAGGGACTAGAGTCCAAGGAATAGAGTTTGACTTTTTTAAAAAAAAATTTTAATTGATTTTTAAAAAAATAAATGACAGCAGAATGCATTACGATTCTTATTACATATATTATAGCACAATTTTTCATATCTCTGGTTGTATTTAAAGTATGTTGACACCAATTCATGTCTTCATAAATGTACTTTGGATGATGATGTCCATCACATTTCACCATCCTTGCTAACCCCCTGCCCCCTCCCTTCCCCTCCCACCTCTATGCCCTATTTAGAGTTCATCTATTCCTCCCATGCTCCCTCTCCCTACCCCACTATAAATCAGTCTCCTTTATATCAGAGAAAACATTTGGCATTTGTTTTGGGGGGGATTGGCTAACTTCACTTAGCAATATCTTCTCCAAATCCATCCATTTACCTGCAAATGCCATGATTTTGTTTTATTGCTGAGTAATATTCCATTGTGTGTATATGCCACATTTTTTATCTATTCATCTACTGAAGGGCATCTAGGTTGGTTCCACAGTTTAGCTATTGTGAATTGTTCTGCTATAAACATTGATGTGGCTGTGTCCCTGTAGTATGCTGTTTTTAAGTCCTTTGAGGATAGCCCACTGAGGAGAAGGATAACTGGGTCAAATGGTATTTCAATTCTCAGTTTTCCAAGGAATCTCCATACTGTTTTCCATATTGGCTGACTTTTGCTCTGCAGACTCCCAGGTTGGCCATGGGATGGGTGGAACAGACAGAGCAAATGGAGGATGCAGGGAGAGAATCAGGCCTCACCTGGCCCTTTCTGGATCTTTTCTTCCTTTTCCCTCTCAGAATGGTATCCCCTTCTGTACCCATCCTCAGTTCTATGTAGGTGGGGTCTGAGAATGCTCTAGTTGGCCCTTAGTTGTTGCAGGCAGAAGGACCTGGCTTGATATCCCCAGGTCTCTGCAGAAGCCTTTGGGACAAGCCAAGTCTTAAGCCCCTGTCCTGTCTCCGCAGCACATGGAGTTCCGGAAGCAACAAGACCTGGACAACATCCTTGCATGGCAGCCTCCTGAGGTATGTCTCCCTCAAACCTGCCCCTGCTTTCCAGACCCTCAACCCAAGACCCTGAGCCCCCTTCTTGTGGTCAACCAGGTCGTCAAGATATACGGCGCTAATAGCATCTGTGGCCATGACCGTGAGGGTGGCCCCCTCTGGTACCACATCGCAGGAAGCCTGGACGTCAAGGGCCTCTTCCTCTCCGCCTCCAAACAGGATCTGCTCAGGGACAAGTTCCAGAACTGTGAGCTGCTCCTGCACCAATGTGAACTGCAGACTCAGAAGGTGTGAGCACTTGGGGCTGGGGATGTGGCTCAAGCGGTAGCGCGCTCCCCTGGCATGCGTGTGGCCCGGGTTTGATCCTCAGCATCACATTCAAACAAAGATGTTGTGTCCACCGAAAACTAGAAAATAAATATTAAAAAATTAAAAAAAAAAAAAAGAAGGCGGAAGCAACTGCCACCCCACCCCCACCCCCACCACACACACAGCCTGCTGCCCGGCACCCTCAAGGATGGCCCACAGCACCCATGCACCTTCCCATATTCTGGACCCACATCCAGAATCTGCCTCCCAAAGCTCCTCGACTCCTGTGCTCCTAGTAGCACCCAGGATGGAATGAGAAGCCAAAGATCTACCCAAGGCCACAAAACACACGGCTGAGCTAGAACTCATTCCTCTCCTGACTGTCCCCAGGGTTGTGCTCAGCCTCTGGGCTAACCTGCCCTCTGCAGCCTCATTTGAAGAGGGAGATATCTCATTGCCCCTATACAGAGAAGGGAACTGAGACACAGTGATTTGCCTTATAGTGGACGGATGAAGAAGGCAGGCCTTGGGCCATTCTGGTTCTGGCCTTGCTTAGAATAGCCCCTTCTCTGCACCTTTCTCCACATGAAACCTCCAAGCCAGGAAAAACCAAGACAGACCAATGCCCTAGGATTAAGCCTAGCCCTGTCTTGGCTGGGACATGGGGGACACTGACTCTCACAGACACTCATCTCCTGATATTATCTTGCAGTTGGGAAAGAAGGTGGAGAAAATCACAGCCATTGTTGATTTGGAGGGGCTGAGCCTGCGGCATTTGTGGAAGCCAGGAGTGGAGTTTGCTCAGGAGGTAAGGTGATCCCTTCCCTCCTCCCTAGCAGGGTTCCAGGTGGCCTAAATACCGGGCCTTTCCCTCTCCAATTGTTGATGTGAATGGTCCTCCTGCCTCCCATTGCCAGGTAAGTATCCACCCAAGCATTGGCAGCAATGTGTCAAACCCACAGTCCTGCATTGAGACTTGGCACCCCAAAGTCACCATCTGGTACCCAACAGGTCACAATGAAGTCTATCCCAGACCTACCAGGGGACCTGTGGATGCCTTTCCCTTTTCATACTCCCATCTCATTCCCAGATACCCACTGATCTTCCTCTCCCCAGGAGCTGCCCACCCCCCCAGCTTCAAGCCTCTGACATTCTTTGTTGCTTCTTTCCCAGGAGTTAGTAGGTGCTAGGGGCTCTGAGGAGGGAAGGAAAAGTGAGGAGAGGCCTGGGCCACAGAAGCAGAAGTTTTACCTTTCCTTTCTTTTTGTTTCACTCAGGATAGCAAAGAACCTAAATTAAACATTTTTTTTTGTAATGGCTTGATTAGTATTCTTATTATCTGTTTTAAAAAAAGGCCACAAAAACATGGTATGAAATGAAATCCAGCTGAACAAAAAAGGGATGTTCCTCCACTTAAAACGATTCTACTTCATGATCATTCGGTTCTACCATGGTGCAAAAGCAATAGGCATTCATTGGAAACTGTCCTTCAAGTTTTGAATTTGGATCTTTTCCTGGGCTGGTGATATGGAATACAGTACTCTTGTGATGCTGAGCTGTGTGAGCAACAGTTCCCAGTCAGTCCTGCGATCACAAGGGGAAACAACTCACGATCTGTCCTGCTAAGCCAGGGTGTCCTGCAGCTTAGGTGGATTCAATGCATTTTCCATTTAGCATATATTCAGCTTACATAGGGTTTATCTAGATGCAACCCCATTGTAAAGTCAAGAAGCTTCTGTAGATGAAACATCCAGAATAGTCTAAGCTGTAGAGACAGAAAGTCTACTCATGATTGCCTTGGGCAGAGAGAAGGAGAATGGGGAGTTACTGTTCATGGATACAAGATTTCCTTTGGGTCAGTTAAAAATGTTCTGGAGCTAGATGGCAGTGATGGTTGCACAACCTTGTGACTAAAAGCTGCTGAATTTTACACTTGGATAGGGTAAGATGTATGATATCAAAATAACTTAATTTTTAAAAATATGCCTTGCAATTTTGAATATTATACAGCAAGTCTGTCTCAGTCCTGAAGTTTGTCTGAGTCATAGGCGAGGGAGCCTTCTAGAGTCTTGAATGGGAATTTTCTTGTCTGCAGTGAGTGGGGACCTGCCTATTAAGAATATATACCAAAGAGATTGGGTGCGGTGGTGCACACCTATAATCCCAGCAGCTTGGGAGGTGGAGGCAGGAGGATCACAAGTTCAAAGCCAGCCTCAGCAATTTAGCAAGACTTGCTAAGCAACTCAGTGAGACCCTGTCTCTAATAAAATACAAAATAGGGCTGGGGATGTGGCTCAGTGGTCAAGTGCCCCTGAGGTCAATCCCTGGTACCTGAAAAAAAAAAAAAATATATATATATATCAATGGCATCAAGGAGATGACTGGGACCAGGACTCAACTGGGAAGTGCGGCTCTACTATGTGTCTGAGCATCTGTGTGCATGTCTTGGATGGCTGGCCGTAAAGGACAACCAAGGGTGTGCCCTCTGGAGCCTTGAGGGTGGGACAGACATAGGGGATAGTGTTTATACACATTTCACTTCTTTGACTCCACAGTTTCTCTCTGCACTCGAGGCAAATTACCCTGAGATTTTGAAGCATATAATTATTGTGAGACGTAAGTGAATCAACCCATTTGGGGATTGGGGGATGTGGAGGTGATGGGTAGGCACCTGAGACCCCAGGAGAGCCAGTTCCCCCAGCTGACTGCCCAAGGGAGAGCTCTGTGCCTGTTTCAGCCCCTAGCCTGTTTGCTGTGGCCTTCAACCTGATTAAGTCCTACATGAGTAAGGAGACAAGCAGGAAGGTGGTGATTCTGGGAGGTGAGTGAGTCGTCTGGGGCCTCCTCTGCAGCCTGGAGCCTGAGCTAGGTTCTGCCCCTCAGCAGACCTGATGGTACCTGCATCTGAGGGCACCAGGCTCTGGGACCCACAGCTTCGTGGCAACTGCTCTGGTAATGTGCATACTAGCAAGAGGGCAAAGGGACCAGGAGGGTCTGCGAGAGTCATCTCCAGAGGCAGGATGGAGGGGGGCCCTGATTTGAGGTTGGGAGGTTTGGATTTAAAGGTTGACTTTGCAACTTACTAGCTGAAGAGAGATGTATCACTTGCTGTGCTTGTCTCAGTTTTCTCATCCATCCATAAAGTGAGGAGAATGAGACCCAGGTTTTTCCAAGTTATACAACTCATTCTATTTAGAAATATGGAAAATTCAGAAATGGATAAGGAAGGAGGGAAAATCTTGTCACTGAAGGAACTACTGGTAACATCTACTGTCTATTTCAAAGGAATATACTTCCAAAAATTAAAATGTGCTTCCCACCTATTACCATTTTGTTAACACTTATCATGTGATAAACATTTTTCCATTTTAGCAAAATTACATTTAGGTTGTATTATTTTTACCATTAGTGAGTATCTTTATAGATTTTTGTACACATCCACATTTTTTCCATTGTATAAAAACAAGAGGTATTTTTTTTCTTCCTTCAAAGAAAAACACTTATTAGGACCTATGGTACCTTTAACAATGTTGTGCTCCATGCATAATGCATAATTTAACTTCACCAACTATGTATGAATGTGCTCATTTCTCTACACTCTTGTCAAAATTGTGCATTAATAATTTAAAAGACTCTGGCCATAAATTATTTTTTACATTGGATTTCTTTTATGACTTGTGATGTTAGACTTTTTCAAATTGGTTATTTGAATTTCTTGTTTTTTGCCTCCTGTGGTCTCATACCCCTTTTCTAGAGAAGTATTTTCTTATTTATTTATAAGTGCTCTTTACATATTAAGTACATTGACTAATCCTGGCATATTTGTGGCACACATTTTCCCCAGTTCATATTTGTCCTATTATCTGATTTTTAACTTAGTGCTATGCTTTCATGTCAAATTTGGGGGATTTTTCCCTTAGATTATTTCATCAGTTTTATGCTTCAGCAGTCCATTTCTGTACCATGGCATGTTAGGTATTCACTTCTGCTTTCTTTTACTTTATTCCTGCAATGCCTTTGTTCCTTTGGGGTAAACAAACTTGATAGGAATTGTTACAAGCTTGGCCTGTAGTTCTGAGGTTGCTAGAAACCTCTGGGAGCCAAGAGCAGGGAATGACTGTAAGGGATGTAGTTCGGTCTCTAAGGGATGGCAAAACCTAGGTCACAGTCTCCCTGTCCTAGACCCCAGGCTTCAGAAGTTGCTAGTCTGACTCCCTGTCAAGATGATCAATGAGCCAACATCTGGACAGGCCAGGCCTAGAGGGGCAGTGAGAATGGAGCAGGCCTGGGGCAGGAATTAGTCACAGAAGCACATGCTGAGTTCCAAGCCTAGGCCCAGAGCTACTCAGCTTCCATCCCTGGGGACAGGATTGCTACTGGGAATGGAGACCAGAAGCACTTCAAGGAGAGGGGAACACATGGATATAGGTCAAAACTGGGCTGGGTCCCCTTTGCCATCCCTGAGCCTCTTGGAGGCCCCCTCTTGTTCCCACACAGACAACTGGAAGCAGGAGCTGTCAAAGTTCATCAGCCCCGACCAGCTGCCTGTGGAGTTTGGAGGGACTCTAACTGATCCAGATGGCAACCCCAAGTGCATAACTAAGGTATGGAGTGCCCAGAGGATGGGGACAGAGGGGAGACCACCGTGGCCTAGTGTCTACTCACCCACCCTCACCCACCCTCACCCACAGATCAACTACGGGGGTGAGGTGCCCAAGAGCTACCACCTGTGCAAGCAGGTGAGGATGCAGTATGAGCACACAGTGACCGTGGGCCGTGGCTCCTCCCAGCACGTGGAGAATGAGATCCTGTTCCCAGGCTGTGTGCTCAGGTAGGGACAGCGACCGCTCCACACCTGGGTGCAACTGGAAGAGGCTCCAGGGCCCAGGCAGGAGGTCATCAGTGGGGCTCCGTCTGTTGCAGGTGGCAATTTGCATCAGATGGTGGAGACATTGGCTTTGGGGTTTTCCTGAAGACCAAGATAGGGGAGCGGCAGAGCGCTGGGGAGATGACAGAGGTGCTGCCCAGCCAGCGCTACAATGCCCACCTGGTGCCTGAGGATGGGAGCCTCACCTGCCTCAAGACTGGTGTCTGTGAGTGTTGGCAGGAAACAGCTCCACCTGGAGGTGGGGGCGGGGGAGGAGTCTTCAAAGGTCATCCAGGTCTTCCCACCAGGTAAGGGCCCCTGGTTCTGATAGACACAGTGTGGGACTGGCTCTGGGCTCTCAGCCCTAGCAATGGTTCCCTGGCGGGGCACCCACACATGTATTTACCACCATGGAGGACAGGGTCCCAGATGGAGCATCCTGTCTGAATGTCTATTGCTCACTGCAGATGTCTTAAGGTTCGACAACACCTACAGCCTGGTTCATTCTAAACACATCAGCTACACCGTGGAAGTGCTACTCCCAGACCAAACCTTCATGGAAAAGGTGGAGAAATTCTAGGCAAACCTTTCGGTTCCACATCCTCCTCTTTGATCTCTGAATCCTCAGTGAGTTCATGGCCTTCCCTGGTCAGACCCCTGTCCAACCTCTCCAAAAATAGGGATCCCACTCTAGCAGGTTGCAGCCTTGCCATCACAACTGGCCTGTTCCTCAGGAGCTGTTGGGGTGGTGGTCTAGTGGAGGCCAGGTGGCCCAACAAAGCAACATAGATATTCTATCCTTACTCCTATCTCCTACGACCTTGAACTCTGAATCAAAAACCCCAGGCCTTTTTCTATGAACTGATACTGAGAAATGAGTTGCCATTCTAAAATAAAGTATATCAGTAGAAAATTGGAGGTATAGTGGGATGAAAAGATTGATAAATGATTTTCATTGAAAAACTAGTTTAGTTTTTCAATGAGGGGTGTAGTTCAGTGGTACAGTGCTTGCCTAGCAGACACAAAGCCCTGGATTCAATCCCCAGCACTATATATATATATATGACTCAGTTCTGATAAGGGGAGATGCTATAACATGGTAGACAACATTTTCAGCCATGAGATGTAAAGAAAGGAAAAAACTCGAGCCAAGAGCATTTATTATGACCTCAATGGGGAGGAATGGGCCAGGTAGGGCAAGCAGGCTTATGATTTGCTAGTCTGAATACTTTTAGCATACTCTTGAGTACAATCCTTAATCATCTGGTACGTGGTCCTGGTCCTGGGATAATTAAGGCAGATGGATAGTGGCCCAGAGAGTGAGAGCCTGGGAAAGGAGATGGTTGGAATGTGAGCTTATATCACTTGGTTTGTATTTGGAAAGCTTGCTTGTGAACATGTTGTTTACTCTCTAGGAATTGGTTAACACTTGGAGGGACAGTCCTTCCAGGGTCAACAAGGCCCCAGGTATCAATGCATCAGAATATTGAACATGGATTACATGATTAACACAGTTACCCATCAAGTGGTTGAACAATCAGCTTCTAATGCAAATCCAACCTCACAGTTTTCCCATTTAGAAAGAATTTTGGAAGTCAATTCCATCTTCCATATATATTCTCACTCCCAGTGTTACGGCCTCTGAAAAATTTTCTACCCTCTGGGTCTCCAAGCTTCTGATTGCAATTTTAGCCTAAGTCTGAAACTCAATGAGTGTGAGGTCCCACAGTGCTACTAGGATAGCATTGTCCTGCCATCAAGCCTCTTTGCCTCTGGCAGTGCCGTGCCATTAACAGAGATTCTGACCAAGCATCACTCCTGCTGCCACTGCTGTGTGCACAATGTTGCCCTAGCTTGTCCTAATGTCCAGTCATTTGTCAAAGTATTTCCCTAATTGGTCATTTTCCAGAAATTCTGGCCCCAAATGGAAATGTGGCCCTTCAGAAGGCCTTATTCTCAGTGATTCCACATTGGCTCACCATCTACCCTTACTTAACAATCTACTGCAAAATTTTGACAGCAAGTTTACTTAGTGGATTCTGAAATCTGATGCCTGGTTCCTTTATCTTCCTTGATTCTGATATGCTCATACCCACCATATTCCCCTGCACAGATGGCACCAAGGAGCAGGGCACATGCCTGGGGGCTGCAACCTAGCTGTTGAAGGGAGGGCACTGGGAGGCAAAGGTGAAGACAGAAAGGTCTCTCTGCCTCTGGCCCTTTGGCCCCATGATCTGCTCCAGCCCCACAACTTCCACAGGTTGATGGCTAGTGCTCACAACTGGTCCTGACTACTTCCTCTCCCTCCCACTATCCTCCAACCCAAAGCCTCCACTCAGCCTTCACCAGCCCTCATCCCTATCTTTGCTCAATCTGTCCTTCTACCCAAAAGACCCACTGTTTCCCACTGTCCAAATTTTCTGATTCAGCAATTCAATTATGCTGAATCAGAATTAGGATGCACAGGTGACCTATAATTTGAACCGGTGAGATTCTCCCTTTTCAACTGCTCAATTCATTGAGCTTTGACAAGCACATACATACCGCCACCATAAATGACATGTTGAGCAGCTCTGCCACCCCCTCAATTCCCTCACGCTTCTCCTTTGGAGTCAGACCCTCCTCTTACCCTACCTTGAGCAACCATTGATCTGTTCTTTATCTCTACAGTTCTGAATTTCCCAGAATGCAAAATAAATGAGATCATTTGATATATGTTTTTTTTTTGATATGCTTTTCACTCACCATGATACCTATGAAATTTAAACACGCTGTTGTATACACAAGTGATCGACTCTTTTTTGCAACTGAGCAGTATTCCATTGTGTGGATATATATGTGAATGTACGATGCTACTTATCCATTCTCCAGTTGAAGGCTAGTTGACTTGTTTCCAATCTGGTGTGATTATTAAAAAAGCTGCTGTAAGCATTCATATTTAGTTTTTTTTTTCATGATTGAAAGTTTTTCTTTTCTCTAGGGTGGGATTCCCACTGGGCCATGTGAAGTGGGTACATTTAATGCCATGGGGAAGTGCCAAGTTATTTTGCAGAGAGGTTGCACTCTTTTGCATTCCCCACAGCAGCATGGGAACATTCCTGCTGCTTCACATCCTTGTCTTGGTACTCTCAGGTATTCTGGTGGTAGCCATTCTAATAGGTACTTGGCTATGTCTCCTTGTAGTTTTAATTTACATTTCTTCAATTTCTCCAGTGATGTTGAGTATATTTTCATGAACAGGGTATGGCAAGATTAGACAGACCTGAGTTCAAGTGCTGTTTCTGGCATTTACTTGGGACCTTGGCAAGTGACCAGATGCCCTCTGAGCTTCTGTCTCACTGGCGAATGGATGACATAATAGTACCTCCTTCTAGCTTGTTTGCTCTAAGGATAAATGAGATTCCTCAGGCCCCTTTTGAGATAAGAATTTTCTGCCACCTAAAACTGTCTCCTCCAGGACTGGCTCTTTGAAATGCAAACATTCAAGAGGTACTACCTGACTGGCTCCTACTTCCTATGGGAGAGTGAAGGCCTAACTTTGGTGAGCACCTTATACCACTATCACATGTCATAAAGATATAAGAAGTTTGTCCCTCTTCTGAATAAGGGTTCATTAGCAAACCAAATGGCCTGGTCACATGGATCAAATGTTATTCATTAGCCCATCCTGGCACTTAAAAATGTCTCCTGCCTTTTGTCTTGTTGAAGTACATTGATCTTGCTTCCTGATTGTAATACAGTCACATGACACATGATGAAGTTTCAGTCAACAACGAGCCACATATATCAGGTTCCATAAGACTGTATCACCTAGCAAAGCCACAGCTGTCTTTGTTTGAGTACATTTTAAGATGTTTGCACAACAATCATGTTGCCTAATGACACATTTCTGTGAACATGTCCCTATCATAAAATGACATATAATTATAGTTATTACTTAATAAAGTCTATCTTTTTGGTCTATACTAGTGTCTGGCTTTGTTTATCTTTTTTGTGGGGGTCCCTGGGGATTAAACTAACCCATGGAGCCACATTCCCAGCCCTTTTGTATTCTATTTAGAGACAGAGTCTTACTGAGTTACTTAGTGCCTCGTTAAGTTGCTGAGGCCGGCTTTGAACTCACGATCTTCCTGCCTCAGCCTCCCAAGCTGCTGGGATTCCAGGCATGTGCCACTGTGCCCAGTCATTGAAAGTATCTGAAGTAGTCAGAAGAATCAGCTGCAATAAATTTATAATTTACAGGAAGAACATAACTTCCCTAGATCAGGCCCTGAATAATCTCTGGCCCTCAAAATTTCTGGAGTAAGTCTGCCAACACAGCTCTGGCATGGGACAGAAGTAAGGCACTGGCCTCTCCCTGCCCACTGTTGGCTTCTCTGAAGTCCTCTCCCATACCTACCATGAATCTCTGCAGTAGTCTCCTGTTTTCCCTACTCTGAACATTTCTTGTCCCCAGATCATTCTTTACACTGGGCCAAAGGTTATCTCAGCATAGGCACAGTCCCATTGGTTTCTTCTCTAAAACCTCCAGTGGCTCCTCACTACTGAGAAGGGATAACCCAAAGTCCCCAATATGGTCTGAAGTTTCTTGGTGACCTGACCTCAAACTTTTTGAGCAATATGTCCTATGGCATCTTTTTCTCACCTCTGTGATTTTGTTTTGTCACCTTTGTTTAGAATATCTTCCTATTTCCACCTTGAAGGCTCAGCTCAAATGTCACCTTCTCTGGGGGACATTTGGGGATCCACTAGTTCCATGCTTTTCTTAGACCTTACTATAATAGTCTATTTTTAGGGAGTCAGGGCAGAAAGTGATTGACCCAGGACTTAGGTATAGATGGATAAGTGTCTAAACCTCGACCTGGTCCTGACTAGTTTCTGAAGCTCAGTCATCATCTAAATGAAATGAAAATACAGGTACAATGATGAGAAGAACAGTCCATGCTTTCATGGGCCTGAAAGTGAAGGAGGAGAGTGAAATAATCACAAGCTATGTGTAATGAGAATAATACCTAAAAAAGAGAAGTAAAATTCTATGTGAGCAGTTACTCTGGTGGATCAGAGTAAGAGGTCACTAAATGGTAGTGTGGAGGGAGTAGGTAAAGGAAGAATATTCAAGTCAAAGGGAAAGCATGTGCAATGGCCCTGTGGTAGAAGGAAGCAACAAGGGAATATAGATAGCACCAAACACTCCCCACCTGGTGCCACATGGCCTGGCAAGAACTAAGGACCTCCCAGCTTTTGTAGGGGAAGAAAGACAGAAATCCAAGTGGGGACCCAGGGACCCAGATACCCTAACCTGACTTTTTGCTGGTGCTGGGACTTTAGGGCAGTTAGTCAGTCTACCCTTTTCCCTTTTCCCAGCTTTGTGGCCATCTCCCTTCCCACGGAATAGAGTGGATTTGGACCTATCAGGCCAAAACTTTTCCTGGGGTCACCCTGAGTTGTTGGGGAAGGAGCACAGAAAAATTCTTCCCTCAGCATCCCTGGAACCTGATCTTTACCTTTTAAGCAGGCTCAGGCCTGTGGCCACCTCCCTAAGAATCTGCCAAGCAGACAGACATTCCCTCCTCCAACTTTCTGGCCAGGATCACCCAAGCCAAGTCCCATGTATTTGGAGGGACATCTAGTGGCATCTCTTCAGCCAAGTCATCTGCAGAGTGGGGCTGATGTAGCCACAATGTGGGGCACAGCAAATCTGCAAATCTTCCTCTCACTGTCTAGAATACAGGTATCATTTACCTCAAGGGGTTTCCTTCACTTTGCAGGTCACAGGCTTTAGCTAGGACTCCCAGTAGGGCAACTGTGGCCCAAGAGAGAAGCCAGGAATTTTAGGAGAATCAGGAAGGTGGTAGGAAAAGGCACCATGTTGAGTTGGCCACGAGGCATGGATGTGGATCATACCAGGACAGCAGCATCATTGAGGTCCAACTTTTCTGCTCACAGTTCAGGAGGGACCAAAGGCATGAGCCACCTTTCAGAAGGAAGGAAGATAAGAGTACACTATGGAAGAGAGAAACCATCTGGTTCCCTGATGCCCAGAGGTTAGAACTAGTCTTCCATGCCCAGCAACATTTAAGGTTTAAGGAGGACTGGTAGACTGCAGGCTATCTGCCCTGCCTTGGAAAGACAGGGACTTAAGGGTGACCTGGAACATGGAGTCCCATACCACCTCCCTGGACTCCAATTCTGGCCTTGCTACTTGGTGGCCACAAGATCTTGGGAAGCTCTTTAAAATTCAATTTCCTGACCCATAAATGGGATAATAATAGTCCTTTCTTTGAGCACAGTCAGAAGGAGTTTAATGAGCCAACTCTTCTCCATCCAATATGGCAGCCACTCACCAGTGTGCTAGGACTCCCTAACTTTAAACAACAGAATATTATCTTCTTTCAGTTCCTGAGTCCAGAAGTCCAACATCAAGATGTCAGCAATGTAAGTTTTTTTTTTTCCCCCTAAGGACTGGGAAGAAGAATGTGCTCCATGTGCTCTCCCCTAGCTTCTAAAGGTTTTCCAGCCACCTTTGGCAACCCTCAAATTGAAGAAGCATCATCCTGATCCTTTTTCATCTTCAAATGATATTCTCTCTGTGTGGTTCTCTGTGTCCAATTTGTCCCTTTTTATAAGAAGTTCCTGAAGTAGGGGTCCACCCGATACCACTATGACCTCATCATGACTAATTACATCTACAATGACCCTGTTGCCAAGTAAAGTCACACTCTAAACTACTAGGGATTAGGAGTTTCCCATTTGAATGGGGGGTGGGTGGGCATGATTCAATGCATAACTCCACATGTGGCTTATTGAACACTCAAAAATGTGACTAGTTGTTGCCAGGCGTACTGACACAAGACTGTAATCCCAGCAGCTCAGGAGGCTGAGGCAGGAGGATTCCAAGTTCAAATCCAGCCGCAGCAATTTAGCAAGACCCTGTCTCAAAATAAAAAATTAAAGGGGCTGGGAATTGGGGATGTAGCTGTACCAAAGGAAAAAAAAGTGATTAGTTGGAATGAAGTGTACCGTATTAACACATGCCAGATTTCAAAGACTTGGTACAAAACAACAAAAGGATATGTCATCATTAATTAACTATTAAGGAGATAATCTATCTTGTTTGTTAATCATATTGATCACATTTTGAAATAATAACATTCTGGATATAATATATAAATGACTATTTTATGTGTCTGCTAGAGAACTTAAAGTCCCCTGGGTGGCTCACATTTTTCCCCCACTGCAGTATGGGGAATTGAACTCAAAGCCTCATGCATGCTAAGCAAGAGGTCTACCACTAAACCACATCACCAGCTCCTCACATTATTTTTCTAGTGGACAGCACTGAACTAATATTTACAAGCCCTTCAAGCAGGGCCTGGTAAGTAGAAAATACCTGTAAGTGCTAGTTAAATAAAGACTTCTCTTTGCTGGAGACTCGTTCCCTGTGGCATTTTAAAATATGGCTTTACCTATTCCTTAGGGACTGAGAAAGGTTGGGGCAAATTTCTTTTCTCGTCCAGACCTTTCTGCATTGAATGAGTTGTTTTACATTCCAGAAGCATATAGCAAATATTCTGTGGTCCTATCTTTTTCAAATTGTTCTGTGGTATTTTTCTCACACCATTATAAAGGATTCATCAACCATGTTAAGCACCATAGTTTCTTTAAAAATTATTTCAGATTTTCCTGTTAACAATATACAGATTACTTTATACTTAAAATATTTTTCTGTCAGGATTATCATTGGGCAAAGTGGTAAAATATTTAAGCATCCTGATGTGTATGGTCATGTAGTTTTCTAGAGAAGCAATCAGTTTCTACTCCTGCCAGCAGTATGGAACTATCTCCATCTCACCAACTTCTACCTAACTTTATTATCATTTTTAAAAAGATTGTGTTTGTTTGTTTGGGGTTTGTTATTGTTTGTTTTCTCATTTGTTAAAAGAAAAAAACATCTCATTGCTCAATGTGTTAGTCAACTTTCTGTCCGTGTGACAACATACCTGACAGAATCAACTTAAAGGAGAAAATATTTACTTTGGCTCATAGTTTTAAATGTTCCAGTTCATGAAAAGCTGGCTTCATTGCTGTTGCCTATAATGAGGAAGAACATCATGGTCTAGAAGGTGTGGAAGAATTAAGCTGCTTTCCTGATAGTGGGGAAGCAGAGAGAGAAAGAGGAAGAGATCAGGGATAAAATATACTCTTCAAGGGCAAGGCCTCCAGTGACCTATTTCCTCCAACTAGCCTTCACCTCCTGAAGGTTAATCACTTCCCAATAGCACCACCAACTGGGGACCAGACTTTTAACACAGGAGCCCTTGGGAAACATTTCAAGATCCAAACTGTAACACTTGATTGCACATTTCTTTTCTGGACACTGGGCATTTAGCCATTTAATAAATGTGTCCTGTGTATTTTCTTTTCTGCAAATAGTCCATTTATTTATCTGTGTCTTACTATTTCTCTTGTCTACTTTTGTGAGTTCTTTTTAAAATATGAATTTTCCTACATTTTCATTTCCCCAAATTCATATCAGCAAACACTGACAATATCTTAATTTTTTCTTGTTTAACAGATTTTCATACTTTTATATAGTCAAATAAATTCATTTTCCCTTTATGATTTTCTTTCATTGCTTTTAAATGCAAACCATGCCCTTCCATAAATGTGGTGTCTTTTTTGCTTTCTCTTAGCTTTTGAAAATTACAGCAGAATGCCCTTTGATTCATATTACACAAATGGAGCACAATTTTTCATTTCTTTGATTGTACACAAAGTAGAGTCACATCATTAGTGCAATCATACATGTATCTAGGGTAATGATTTCCATCTCATTCCATCATCTATACTACAGTTTCTTTATCCATTCATCTATTGAAGATCTTTTAGCATTTTTTTGTGAATTTCTTTCTTTGATTTAAAATGCCCCTAGGGCAAACACTATTCAAATGAAATACAATGCAAGTCGCAATTGTGAGCCACACACGTAATTTAAAATATTCTGGAAGCTACGATTTTTTTTTATATTTATTTTTTAGTTTTAGGTAAACACAATATCTTTCTTTTATTTTTATGTGGTGCTGAGGATCGAACCCAGTGCTTAATGTGTGCGAGGCGAGCACTACCACTTGAGCCATATCCCCAGCCCCTTGCAGCTATGACTTTAAAAAGGAAAAAAAAAAAAAGAAAAAGAAAAAGAAAAAAAAACTGCACAGAGCAGAGTGGAACTATAGGATTATGCAACAATAGGATACGTGTCATCTTATAGTTGTCACAATCTGTAAAATGAATAATATCCAGAGTGAACACTAATATAAGCCTTGAACTTTGAGTGAGAACAGAATATCAATGTAGGTTTATAAATTATAATAAATGTCCCATTCTGATACTAGAGTTGGTGGCTATGTGGGGACTGGGGCTATTTGGGAATGCTGTTCTTTCTGATGTGTCAGAGGAAAGGGCTGTGAACCTAAAACCACCCTATATAAAACCATATGTATATTTTTATATAAAAATTTATATTTAAATATATTTTATGTATAAATTTACATTTAAATATATTTAAATTTAAAATAATAAAAATAAACAGGTAAAATTAATTTTAATAATATTATATTTATCTCATATCAAAAACTATCATGTCAACAAGTAATCAACAGGAAAAAAAATGAGTAAGATCTTTTACTTTTACCAAGTCCTTGAAATTTGGTTTATATTTTGTACTCACAGCACATCATGGCACTGGTCATCTCAGATCCAGAACTTGATGTGACCCAATGGGAGGACTGAGGGAAAAATTCTCAGTGGCCTGTTTACCATCTCCTTCTCCTTCCCGGAAGTTAGCTCAGCTCCCTCTCATCAGCAACCTCGGGATTGCACTTGGGGTCACCAAATGGGCCACATCGGGATCTCTACCCTTATGTCTCCTGGCTCTGGTGACATCCTCAATAATTATGAAACTTCCGAAAAAGTTTCATAAGTTTCCTCCTAAGAAACAATACTCTCTGAGCATAAAATACCAGGCACCAACTTGCCTTCCCAACATTTTGAGAGCCAGAGCTCTTTGTCAGGTAAGGGTTCCCCTTATTACCCAGTGAGCACTGACAGAGCCCAGCCTGTGTTCCAAGTCAGGGGAGAGGGGCAGGGGTTCCTTAGGCAAAAGGACTGGGTACATCGCCTGTCCGGAGGTTTATAAAAATCCCTCCAGGTTGCTCAGAACGGGATCTGAAACCCCTCCACGTATCCTTTGTGCTCACCTCTTTCTTCATTGCCTCCTGAGAATCGCGAGGAGCACTTAGAGAAGACCTGGAGGTGGGGCCACCCGCTGCCCCAGACTCTCTTGGTGCCCAGTCACCTCGGTGCCCCCGGTAGGGTGCGATTGGCGATTGGGGCAGGAAACCCCCGAGGAGGCACGGGATCCGTCAGGGCAGGGCAGGACCAGCGGCTCTCGGATCAGGGCGGAACCAATATCTGACCCGGACAGGTAAAACCAGGCGGCGGTGGCAGCGGCGAAGCCAGGCGGCGGGCAGGGCAGGCAGAAGCGATCTGCACATCTGTGGCCGGCACCCCTCGGCGCCGCCGGACACCATGAGCGGCCGAGTAGGGGACCTGAGCCCCCAACAACAGGAGGCGTTGGCCAAGGTGAAGGGCTTGGCGGGCAGGGAGGCTTGGGGAGGGATCCAGCAATCATCCGCCGCCTCACGGGCCTGGAGTCCTTAGAGTAGGATCGGGAAGTTGGGAGAGTGCCACAGTCCTGCCTGCCTGTCCAGGGTACAGCTCTGAGGCCCCTGTGCAGCAGTGCCCTGGGCGGGAGACCTCCCTGGGAGACTCTACAGGGGATTCAGCCTTCCAGCCCTGCGGGGATCCCCACCACCCTGCCCTGACCTTTGTTCCCCCGCTTGTTGGGGAGGGGGTGGCGTGAGCCTTGGGCTGAAGGGATTCTCAGATCTTGTGCTCAGATTGCGACATTTGTTTATTTAGTTTCTCATGGCTCTCTAACTCCTCAGGGCTTAAGCTTTCTCTCTGTGGTCAAAAAATTAAAATAATAATTACAAAAGGAAACTGGAGGGGGTTTTGATGATTTTGAGATAGTCTTGGTAGGTGCACTTGGGAGAGACACGATCATGGGAAAGGGGGAGAATGTATATGTCTTAGGTGACACAACCCTGGCTCACACTTTGCTTGTGAAGGAAAGGGTAGCTTAAAATTCTTGGGGAATGATTTATTTTGAGGACTTCCAGATAGGAATGAGGACCCAAGGTGAAGAAAAGGGGCTTGGGGATTGGGAATCCACTCAGGGTCCCCTAGATGAAAAACAAAACAACAACAACAAAAACAAACAAACAAACAAAAACACCTATGGGTGAAAGAGGTATCCCTAGGTGGAGGGTCCTGAGTTAAGGAGAGAGGTCCCCAGTTAAGGAGAGTCCTGAGATGAAGGAGATGGGATTCCTTGGTGAGTCCTTGCCCTTCCCACTGCTGATGCCCTCAGGGAAGCCCCTAACACAAAGCTCTTCAAAGGGACTTGGACACTTGGCCTTTGGGGATGAATTATAATGTTTATGCCTGTGGGTCAGAGCTTTACACAATGTAAAAAGTTTATTCTTATTTTTCCCATTATTTAATGTAATGAATTCTTATTATTTTAAAACACGGGGAAAGGAGGAAAGTAGGGAGAATAGGGAAAAGTTTTTCATGGTCCCAGAGGTCTGTATGTTATGGGGAGACGCCTCAAAATGCACTCTAAGTCCGAATTTCAAATCAAAAGAGATAAGTAATTACCTGGCCAGGGACTGTCACCCACGGCAGAGACTCAAGCTCTGTGGGAGGACAGCAGCTTCCTGGTCCATCCAAAGAGAATATAAGCACAAAAACCACAACTCAGTGACTTGCTTAGCATCATGTAAGCTAGCCAATCATAGAAATTAAAACATTAATAAGTGGGACCTATGGGCTCTAGGCAGGACTGGAATTTTCCAGTCAGCAAGTAAGCGATAAACGGAAGCAAAAAAAAAAAAAAAAGCATTAGCTTTGCAGTTCAGTTGACCATAATCCCCCGTTCAAGCAGGTGCTGGACAGTCGCATCCTGAATTTGGGTGGGGGTACGGTGGGCGAGAATCTACTTCAAAGTTATGTAGACCTACAAGGGCATTCAAACCCAGTGGGAGCTCACCATGACCACCACTGCATCCTGAGTAGGGTACAATTTGTGGGATACAAAGTACAGAAAGACAATTTTTTAAATAAGGAAACAGCTTTGATTTCGGTTGCTCAGAAACAGCTCTTGTAGCAGTGTTTTATAGAAGGCAGCAAAATGGAGTCTTAGGCCTGTTCTTGCTTTATAATTGTCTTATCTCACTCATCAAAATCTTATATCTATAATCTATATTTTTAACTAATCTATAACTTATAACTTACACTCTTATTGATTGTATTTATCAGTTCACACCACAACATATCATCAGCCTGACCAGGTGTTGACCAATTCTGGTTACACTGCTAGATGCTGCTGTCTCCATATGGCATCATGGTAGAGAAGAGTTTACTCCACATTACTTTAGACACTCCCCAGCACCTGCTTGGTAGCTTTCTCTTTTCCCTGATGCTCATTGAAGAATTATGTGACCCTGGCAAGGGTAGAAGACATGGATTACTCCTGGCCCTTGCCACTTTTCCTACTCTGTTCCTGGGGAGAAGATTCACCCACCCCAGCATCAGTTTCATCTTCAAAGTCGAATATGACCTTTGCACCTCCTGTATCGGATCTCATCCTGAGGGTCATTTTTTTGAGGGAACTCAGTAACCTGGAGGATATGAGGAGAGCAGTGTCATGGTTTTTCTGGGGTGTGTGGGGGGGAGTTCATCCCCTTCCATATCTGCCAAAAAGCTTTCTCAGGTGCCCAGAGGCTATAGGAGTTTTCATGTGTAACAATGTCTGTTTTAGGTGCCTGTGACTTGTTAACACCAAGAAATGTGTAAACTGATTATTCCCTTTTTTGTTGTGTAAACAACACAGGAATACATTCTTATTTTAAATATACTTCCTAAAGCTAAAGGAGGTTTGGTGGATAACCATCAAGAACACTTCCTGTAGCTTTGCTTATATCTGTTTCTGACCCCAAAATCAGATTCACAGATTCACCTCTAAACATGGCCCTTGCTTTCAGGTCCCTCTGTTCCTATAGAAGTGAGATCTTTTTTCTATCCCAGACCAAAGCCTCAATCTCAGGCCCAAACTCCCAGTGTTTTTTCTAAACTTTGCCAAGGAGCAAAAGCCACCACCAAATGAAACAAAAAGAAAGAAAGAAAGAAAAGGCACCTTCCAATGGACTGTCTGCCCTCCTTTCCTCCAATCCCCCCAAAGCCTTTTTTGCAGTCCCTTCATAGTGACCTCTAGTTTTGTCCCCAGATGCTTCACTGTCCAGAGCATCCAGCAGGCCACACTTGTTGAGTGAGGCACCTGCCTTATGCTAAACTGCTTTACATGCACACTTTCCTTTGACTGGCACAAATTTATCATTATCCGTATTTACAGATGAGGAAACTGAGTCTCAGAGAGTTTATGTAACTTGCCTCCAAATCCAGGCCTCCAAGAGGCACCATCGGGGTGATATTACTAAATTTTGTGTGTGTGTGTGTGAAAACAGGGATGCCATGGCCTTGTCTAAGACTTGTGGAATGAGAGTCTTGTGGGGGCAGGGATCCCCCAAGTTTAAGAAGGACCCAATGCTTCCTTCCTCCTATGGTGGGCTGAAGGGGGGCCATTCCCAGATACCCAAATGGTTCAGGGCAGGTGCTAACTATGCAGGGTCCCCAAGTGGCAGATGAAGATTGCAGATGGGTCACAAGAATATCTCTGACCATCATATCCCCATCTCTTAGTTCCAGGAGAACCTCCAGGACCTGCTACCCACCTTGCCCAAGGCTGATGACTACTTCCTCCTGCGCTGGCTTCGAGGTTTGACTGCAAGAATTGGGAGAGACAGAGAGGGAGGGAAAGAATGGGGGGGGTGTCTCAGGAGAAAGCATGCTAAACCTGGGGAGCAATGCTGCAGAGCAGTAAATAACAGGCTTTGCATCCTCCTGCTCCGGGTTAAATTCTGAGCTTCCATGTGCATTAGCACCACACAAAATCCCCACTGAATCTTAGTTTCTGCATCTGCAAAATGGGTATGAGTAAGTGAGTAGGCACAGAGTGGAGGTAAAGTTAGAGTGAACACCCAGAAGGTCCTCAGGAATTAACTGGCCTGGCCTTGAATGAGATACCATTGAGCACCATCTTCAGGACTTGCCTTTGGACCTACATCCAGTTGCCTGTGGACAGAGCTATTTTATTTCCTTGAGGAAACTGCATGTCCCTGAGGGCACTGAGTACAGCCAACAATTAAGGAAGTGGATTTAAATAAAGGGAGAGAAGGAGTTTCTTGAAGTAACTATAGCAACAGCCTAACAAACGAATAACAGAAACCACAGCAAGGTTTAGGGGGAAAAAATCATTTTAACTCACTGCATCTCACAGAATGAATTTTGTACTTGAGGTGAGATTAGCCCAGAAATTAGACACACACTGCATGGTTTAAAACACCAGTCTTCAGAACTCTGGTTTGTGTAGAGAAGAGTGAGGGGAAGAGTGGGGATGTGGGGATGAGAAAAATATTATTAAAGAAGTTCCAAAACAAAACACCAGTCTTCAATAGGCCTGCAGCTGAACCCCAGCTATGCAACATTCTAGGCTGTGGCAAGTCATTCATTGTCTCTCATCCCCACTTTCCTCTTACACATAACAGGCATATTTGTCCCTATCTTTACGGTGTCTGTGGGTCAAACATGAGGTCACAGATGTGCACAAGGCCCAAATGAAGGAAGCATCCAGAGGCTGGTTGTTTCCTTTTGTTTTGTTCCATCCTTTTTTTAAGAGTTCTTTTTTTATAAACTTTACTTTTTAAAACAGTTATAGATTTTTCAGGAAAATTGCAAAGATAGCATAGAATGGTCTATATACCCTGTACTCTATTATTGTATCTTATCTTTGCATGATACATTTATTACAAGTAATGAATCAATATGAATACATCATCGTTATTATAACTAAAAAACTCTATATTATATGGATTTCCTTAGTTTTTCTATTGCCAGATTTCATTTTACATTGACATTACATTTAATCATTTGTCTCCTTCAGATCCTTTTGGCTGTAGTAGTTTCTGTTTGTTTTTGTTTTGTTTTGCTTTAAAAGGGAGCATATCATTGTCATGAGCCTGAGCTAAAGAAGGAGTTGGAACAGAGTTTCTAGAAACCAATTGACAAGGCACATCTTCATTCATTTTCTTTTATTACCATAAGGAAACATCTGAGACTGGATAACTTTATAAAGAGGATTATTTAGCTCACCATTTTGGAGGTTCACACATATGGTGATGGCCTTCTTGTTAGCAGAGTCTCCAGATGACACAGGGCATCACATGGCAAGAGACAAGGAGCACGCATGATCGTCTCTCTTCTGGTCTTTCTCCTTCTAATCAAGTTGCTAAGATTCAACCATGAGGGCTCCACCCTGATGACCTTAATCTAATCTTAACCACTTTCCAGAGGCCTCATCTCTAAATACCAGAATTAGATTAAGTTTCCACCCTCTTAATACCTCACAGTGGGGATTAAATTTCAACTCATGAAACCTTGGGGACAAGCTCAAACCGCATTTGAACCATAGCATATCAGTCTTTTCTCCTCCTGTGAAGTCTTTTTGGGTTTAAATCCAGCTTTTGGGTGTCTGGTGTGTTCTTGATAAGTAAGTGAGATCACAGATCACAGATACCTTAAGCTGCCAGATCATTGAAAAAGAAAAGAATCTCAGATCGAGTGTGGCCTTTTACTTCCTGCTGTAGGTGACAGGACTGTGGATATGACCATCCACGTGGGTGTCAGCCACGTTACTCCCTGCCTTACCTACCCTGGATATAGATCTAGAGAAGTTTGAGTGATGGAGCTGAGCTTCACAGAGGCTTCTCCCTCAGGCCTAATAATGACAAGCCTTGGGCTGGGGTTAGGGCTCAGTGGTAGAGTTCTCGCCTAGCACTTTCGAGGCCCTGGATCTAGCCTCAGCACCACATAAAAAAAAAAAAAATATATATATATATATAAATAATGTATAGTGTCCAACTACAACTAAAAAAAATGTTTAAAAAAATAATAATGACAAGCCTTCCCTAAACCTCCTTCTGATGTCCTTCCCCTCTGTTTCTTTATCTACATTCTTCATCAGTGTCTGTTTCTCCAAGTCAGATGCTAGCTCGCTCCATAAGGGCAGTATCTATGCCTGCCCTGGTCCCCTTAGTCTGGCACATAGTAGGTACAACTAAAAACTCTATCCTCATATCCCATCATCAGCACCCAAACCACTGTTTATAGGATAAGAACCCCCAACAGATATAGAATAATACTGTGAATAATTATGTACTAGTAAATTTAAAAATCTAGATAAAATAGATGAATTTCTAGGAAAAAAATATAGGGCTAACATCCAGCATGAAGAAATAGAAAATGACAGACTAATAAATTTAAAGAAATTAAGGGGCTATGGATATAGCACAGTGTAGAACACATGCTCAGCCTGTTAGAGGCCCTGGGTTTGATCCTCAACACTGAAAAAAATAAGAAGAAGAAAAAGAAAAAGAAAGAAAAAAATGGAAAAGGTAGTAAAAAAAACTCTACTCCCCCAAAACTCAAACTCCAGGCTTTATAGGAAAATTCTTCCAAAATTTTAAAGACTGGTTAATTACTATCTTATATGAATTGTTTTAGGATATATGAAAGAATGAGGCTTTTTCTTTTCTTTAAAGAGAGAGAGAGAGAGAGAGAATTTTGTAATATTTATTTTTCAGTTTTTGGTGGACACAACATCTTTTATTTTATTTTTATGCGGTGCTGAGGATCGAACCCAACATCCTGCGCATGCCAGGTGTGTTCTTGAGCCACATCCCCAGCCCCAAGAAAGAGGTTTTTTCTTGTGAGACTTGAGTATTATTTCAAATAGAGATAAGAATAATTAAAACAAAAAAGAGAAGAGGAAGTCTATACCTGTTTTACTTGTTAATATAGTAATAAATATAAATAAAATATTACATAATAGAATCCATTAGCATATTAAAATTATATGACATCATCAAGAAGAATTTATCTTGGGTCTGCAAGAATAGTTCAACATTAAAAAATCTATCAGTGTCTTTGAAATCATTAATAGATTTAGAAATGAAAAAATCATATGGCTATCTCAATTAACACAGAAGAAACATTTGAAAAAGTTCAAATCCTATTTATAAGACAAGTGTTTTGGGGACTGGAGAGTGATAGAACGCTTGCCTAGAATACACAGGGCTCTGGGTTCAATCTCTAGCACCCAGAAACAAAAACAAACAATTCTTACAAACTAGTAATAGAAGAGAATTTCCTTAACTTGGTAGTAATGGTAACATAGCACAAATCCCCTAACAAATATTATGAATAAGGATAAATTTTAGATACATTTCCTTTAAGATCAGAAATAAGGAGAGGATGACACCAGTGAACATTATGATTTAAACAGAATTAGAGACTTTTGCTAATGCTAGAAGAAAAGAAAAAATAATCAGTAGTTTAAAGACTGGAAGGAGGGGCTGGGGATGTGGCTCAAGCGGTTGTGCGCTCGCCTGGCATGCGTGCGGCCCGGGTTCGATCCTCAGCACCACATACAAAAAAAAGATGTTGTGTCCGCCAAAAAGCTAAAAAATAAATATTAAAAAAAATAGTTAAAAAAATAAAGACTGGAAGGAAAGAGTTAGAAGTTTTTCAGATACATTACTTATCTCCCTTGAAAACCACAGGATCAACAAAAAAACTCTAGATCTAAAGAGAAAGCTTAACCATATTTCCAGATACAAAATTCAATAGTATTTTTTTCTATGGCTGCAACCAATTGTAAAATATCATGAAAAATGTATATTATTCCAAGTAACAACAAAGCTTATAAAATAACTAGACATTTAACCTGGAGCACAGAAGATCT